GATAGCTATTGTTGAGATATCTAGGGTGTATCTGCGTATCGGGTCACTGTATGGATTGCAGTTAGAATAGAATTTGCATGTGGGCCTGACCCACTCTTATTTTTACATGTGTTCGTTAGTTCCAAGCTTAAAGCTTGATCGTGCTGAGCAGATACAGTCATTCACTCCACCGACGACGTAGGATTTTATTTCATATTTTAGGCTTGGGTTTTGTTTCCAGTTATTTGGTTTCAGTTGGGATATTTTAGGTGTCCACTAGATGGATTCCTGAGTTGTATAATATGGGGAACGATTTGTATCAGAAGATTTTGATTATCAATGAAAGTTAATAGTTTATCGTTTTAGTTCTTTTCAGCGTTTCTATTTATTTTTGTTAATCATATTTGTATTTTGTGTTTGATTATTGCTAATTTATTTGATATCCTCGAGTAATTGGGCGTGGGCCTGGCCAACCCGCATCAGGAGATCCGGGGGTATCACAGTTGGTATCAGAGCACTCCAGGTTCTAGTGTCATTAGGAGTGTCTTTTGTTATCGGACTTCCGCGTTGCGTCTCTTAAAAACTTAGAGCCATAATAGGATTCGTTGTACTCTATTTACGGTTCTTTAAGAGGAGCTGATGTCAATTATATTCTGTAGTTACATAATGGTTGACACTGGGAGAAGGATGGGGTCCAAGGCAAAAGCGATACAGACCCAAAGGAGCAAAGGAGTACATAGTCGAGTTCTTTGCCAAAAGCAGAACTTGGGATCGAAGGTTTAGTTATGGAATTGGCATTACTTGGAAAGTATAAGCCAAGAAAGGAATAGTGTGTAAGAGTTAGGTCACAGCATATCGGGGACAACACGACTTCAGTTGTTCTCAACTAGGAGACAAGTGAGAAGTAGGAGTCAGAAGAAGATCTTAATGGAAGAGATTACAGAGTATCGAAGGAATAGGATACTAAATCTTCAGGATGAATGATTGCACGAGAATGGATCTTTTTCACTTGTAGTGTAATGAATGATACAAGTAGGGTTGGTGTGAACCAATCTACATGTAGTTAAATTTTTGTATCATCTCTAAGAGAGCTATGTAAGAGGTACTTTTCAGGAGTTTAGGGATCGGATGGAGTTCTTTGCAGAACGAAATACATAGTTATATATTATGTTCTGGAGAGTATGGGGATTAGGTTGTAACGTTCTAAGTTGCTTATTAAAGGCATGTTAAACGGTTTGTATTCCATATAAGGAGGAGGAGAGTTAAGCTCTTTGGCTTTTTGCTTGGGCAAACGATTGTTGCTATTAAGCTATGTTTAACGGATAGGTTTCAAGGTTGGATGGTTACCTACGAAACTATAAAAGGAAAGGGTGAACTAATCTAGTAAGGTTAAGTTGAAAGGAGACTTTCTTTTCTAGAAGGAACGATGTTTTAAGTATGATTATTTTTATTTCTGTTTTATAGTATGTGTTTTATATGTTTCATTTTCGTTATTGTATGTATCTTATGTGTTTCATTTATTTTTCATTAATTAGTTCGGATTGGGAATATGGTTTAGTTAGGGGCACATGTATGTGATCAGCCAACTATGGTTTTAATAACATGGAATAATAGCGTTATTTACGTTAGGATTGTAAGCATATGATTATAGAATTTGGTAAATATACACGAGTCTAGCCAATCTATTGAACTTCAATATGTATCATTATGATATGCTACTTGGGATGGAAAAGTTAAACTATCAATACGTGTCAACTAACTTAAAACGATTAGTTTGATATGCTTCACACTAGGTATGGATTTGTTTTTACAACACCCTAATATTGGTGGTTGTTAATGGTTTGGGTATTCGTGACGTTGTGGTAAATAAAGACCACTGCAACACCACGATGGTTTATTGGAGGTATAGGATTTTCATAATGTCTTCTTTGGAAAATTTCAAAGGTTGTTCTTAAAGCGGAAGGAGGATTTAGTACTAATTTTGGTACTTAGTGGAGTAGCATCTGTTGGGGATAGAGGACTGAATAAATTTTCATCAGTTTATCCTTAATCAAGAATTTTATTCATGAGGATGTGATATTAGGAGGAGTTGCCAGGGTTGCATATTGAGGAGGAAGTAAAGTCTCTTCATTTGCACAAATAATATAATTTTTTTTTTAGGTCACAGTTCATAACAACTAGTTGATGCTAGGCGATTGATGACTATATAGAGGGTGGAAAAGTTCCATATTTGTTTAAAGCGAGACAAGGAGTCCAATTGACACTTATTTATATTAAAGAAGTAGGGTGTGTCAAAGGCAGGATGGTAGGACCGAGCACCCATATAAAGAAGAGGTGCACGGTGTGTGTGGAAAGGTTTTAACTGGTTGACTTTCGATGAATGGAATTACCGATTGATTTTCCATATCGGTAAGTTTATTACGAATCAGTATCTACGAATTTGGTTGCAGAATTAGCTTTTGTAGATTCTCCAATTTACATAATGGGTGCAGACAAAAAGCTGGTGGTACCAGACTAATGCTACTTTCGGTAGGTAGGTTGGAAAAAGGATGCAAGGCCTGAGGTTCATAACACTTAAGTTCTTTCTTCATTTGGGTGGAAAATATGATGCACTCACGGGATGGAGCAAATTTTTTTTTGAGGATCAGGAGGAGGAACAAAGTGATTTTGTCGTCTAGTCTAATATTTTTTAGATAATTGGGATGGACCAACAGAGATCACTAGATTCTTGCAGTCATTTTCTATAATGAAGTAGAAATGATAGAGCATTTTCGCGGATTTAGTTGAGAGATTGCTGACTTTACAAAAAGGTCAGGATTCTGGATGGGATACCGGTTGATTTCTAATGAAATCAGCTCAATTTTTGGTTTTATTTTGAACTGGTAGAACATTAGATCATATAGATAAAGTGGATTACGGGACGACTTAGATGCATCAAAGAGTTGATTCACACTTTAAATGAAGTTTTGTTGGGTGGAAGGGAATATAGAAGTGGATGCTTTCAACACCTAATAGGATGTTAATATCTTTCGGTTTGTTATTGAGTTCACAGTTGGAGTTTTGGCTTATATAATAATGACACTGGCTGTTAGCGAGGAAATTAAGGAAGTTAACTGCAAATATTGGGGTTGATCTTAGTGGAGGTTGTCGGAGTGAATGTGATGTAAATTTTCGTCACTTCTTCTCAATGCACTCGGATGATTAAGGTATAACAGGACATCGAATGTCTGGTCAGGTAAACCGGTTGATGTAATGACATGTTTAATTGGTATATCAGGATGGGTTGGTTTTAAACTAAGGTTATGCGTATGCAATGCATGCTATGACTATGTGTGATTTAGTTCATTGTTAAGTTTAAAACTCGGGACATGATTGAATTGTCGGCATGGTTGATTTGCCCAAGTATCACTAAATATACTTAAAGAGGCATAGTTGATTTGCCAAAGTATCACTAAATATACTTAAGGAGGCATGGTTGATTTGCCAAAGACATAGTTTAATTGTCGACATGGTTGATTTGTCATAGTCTATATAAATATACTTAAGTTGGTATGGTTGATTTGCCAAGGGCATGGTTGAATTGCTAGGTATAAATAAATATATTCTTAACGGCCTAGTTGATTTGCTGAAACATATGAAAATGCTTATTGCTTTGTTAAATTCAGTATTGGCTTTTGGTATTGCATATAGATTAAAGTTACCAAATTTGTGCAATTATTCTATGGAACTTGGAGGAATAAGGATTGTTACCCTTAACTATATGTGGGGTAAGATTGAGTCATTGTTAGATACAACCTAGGAGTTATACATTTATGGTGTTTCTTAAATGTAGGAACCTTGTTTATTGTTGGATGGATTAGAATATGGTGAGCCTATACACAGAGGCTGAGTCCACATAAGAACAGGAATGAAGTTTAAAAGTAAATAATTTAGAGTTTCGTGAATTCCGAGGACGGAATTCCTTTTGTTAAGGGGGAAGAATGTAATACCCCTAATTTCAGAAGGATATAATTGGCAATTAATTATTTTATTTTATTGTATTTTAGTTGTTTATGTGTCTATGTGAGGATGTGGTTTCATGTAATATGTTTAAATGGATTAACTGTTTAATGATAAGTTGTTTGCTTAATGCTCTGTTCGTTAAGAAGGAAGAAAATTGGATAGAAGAGAGAGAAGAAGGGAATGATGAGACATCCCTAAGGAAGAGATTATGAACTTCCTTTGTTTTGTTCAGTTGGATGGAAGAGAAGAGAAGAACCTACCAAATTCCTTTGTTTGTTAGGAGGGAGGGAGGATAGAATTTAAATTTATTTTTACCATTATACCCTTCATTATTTTTTTTCTAGTTATCATCTTTGTTACTCATTTGAACAGTACCATTAATTTCACGACATTTGTTGTTTGCTTTATTTATATATACATATATGTATATATATGTATATATATAAAATCATATTTCATCATGAATAATAATAATATAAAAAAGTACCCCACTATCTACTTGACAAATATTAAACAGGGTAATGGTTGATAAATATTAAATAGGCTGATGGTCGGCAAAACACTAGACAAGTGCATATATGTCTACTATAGTGAGCAATTGGTCAATCAAATATTTATTTCCTATTAAAATTGCACCATTTGTAGTCACATAAACTGCCTTCAACCATTTAAAATGACAAACACTTGCCAAAATCAAAATTCCAAAAGACATAACTAAAATCCACCATTCTTATGAAAAAAAAAACACATTAATATCAAAGAATGAAAAAAAAAAAATTAATAATAGAAGAAGAAATCCGGTGAAGTTAAAGACTCCAAAACAATAAACATTCAAGAGTTGGTTGAAGTTAAAGACTTCAAAATAATAATCATTCAAGGGTTGGTTGCATCATCCATCATCTTGTATAACAAATCCTTGCGTCTCTCATATGGCACGGCAAAGAATGCACTTTTGTGAGTCTGACTTTTAATAAGAAATATCAATGCATCCAACTGAAGTTCCTCAGGTACCCCAATGTTCAACAATTCTGCAAACACTTCATCTTCTGAATAGTAACGTGGTCGAGCTCTCTCAGAAATAGCAATTCTTTTTTCTGCAATTGTGAGCCTCTTTCTGCAACAAGATTTCCCCTCTCGATTGCCTCTGCTACTTTGTTAATTCCACCTCCGATAACTTCACACTCTTTCTCAAATAAATTAATCACCGACTCCTTTCTTTTTGTGCCCCTTGAAGATGTTACAGCTTCTGAATTTGGTTGAGAAGATGCACTCATGGGAGAATTTTTTTCATTGTTGTTTGAATTTTTATTAGCTTGGTTCGAACTTCCATCTCTTGCCCATCCTTGAACTTTTTTTTTTTTTGCACTTACAGCTCCATCACCATTAGCTCTATATTTTGCAAAAAGATCATACAATTTCTTATAAAATTTTATTTTAGTATGCCTCCATTTCGATGCTGATGGCTTTGCCTGTAAAATGTTTATAATAAATAAATAAATCATAACAACAATATTTGTTCTATAAATAATTTCATACCTCTATAAGGGCCTTCCAAACTTCGGGTTCTGCCTCGAACAATTTTGTTTCTGGACTCCATGAAAATCCACTTAAATTTTTGAATAGATCATAACATGTATTGAAGTTAAGTTTCAAGGTTTTCATCCGGTTTTTTATGTGGTCCTTATCAAATGGATAACCAATTTTTTCAGTGCATTTTTTTACGACATTTGAATATGCTGTAGAGGTGAATGTTCCATCAACTCTATTACCATTTTCTTCTTGCTCCAACAATGCGTCAATTAATACTTCATCCATTTCTTCTGTCCATTTTAGTGCATCCTTCTTATTTTCAGTTACGTTCATATCTTTATTCGCTTTCTTCATCATTTTCCAAGTCTGCATTTTTCAATGTCATATGAAAAATAAATATAAGAAACAATTAATCACATCAACAGATTAACACAAAAGTTTCACCACATTAGAGAAGTCACACAGACTATAAAAATGTAGGAGGTTTTATTGCTCTACTAATACGACACCAATAGATATTAAAATAGTTAAACAGGAAAAAAAATAAAATAAAATAAAATAAAACATAATTATACTCCATGTCCTAAATAATCCTCCCACATGCTAGCTGCTATTGAATTCCTTATAGCTGCTCCTTCGATAGCATCTACTTCATTATTACTTGTATCAAAGTCTTGTCTATTGTCTGGATTAGCATTAACGTGATCGTGATCAACTTCTGCAATCAATCTTTCATCCGGATCAACACCCATTAGATAATTATGAAGTATACAACAAGCCAATACAATTTCTGTCACGGTGTCAACTCCATAATGAGCTTCTGCCCCACTTGAAATAATTGGAAATCTCTTTTTTACTACTCCAAATATTCTTTCAATTACATTTCGTAAAGAAGAATGTCGGTGGTTAAATAACTCTTCCATATTCTCTGGTGCACGTGATGAGTACTCTTTCAAGTGGTAGTGCACACCTCTATATGGTGTAATCAGCCCACCATTTAGCATGTAACCTCCATCCACTAGATAATATTTACCTATAGCAATAAGTAATAAAAAAATCATTTATTTGTTTAAAAATTAAAAACTATATATTATTGTCTTTGAATTACCTGTAGGGATGATTAGTTTATCTTGACGCTCTTTTAGTGCATTTTTAATTATCCTTGAGTCAGTTGCAGTTCCTTCCCAACCCGGTAAAACATACGTAAACTTCCTGTCGAATGAGCATGCTGCTAAGACATTTTGTGTTGGGTTGTCTTTTCTTCCTCGATATCTCGGTGCATCTGTTTTAGACACTTTGACACGAATATGAGTTCCATCTATTGCTCCTACATAGTCCTAGAATTATTGAAAACACTTCTATAATTTTCATATGTAGATATAATAATGTGAATTAGTGGTTTAACAGTCTGTTACCTTGAAATACGGATAGAATCTATTGTTGTTGAGTATTTCTGGAGGGACGTCTAAACCACTAGGTTGTTGTAGAAAAATTTCTTCTAATGTGATTATTGCTCTTAACACATCATGGAAATGACGACTAATAGGGTCACCGGATCGGCAAAAAAAAAAATCGAATGGCACGGTTTTTCACATTATATGCTAATATATAGAGAAACTTGGCCACTTGCTCCTCGACTAAAGCATTTTTATTATCCTTGAGGCGACTAGTGCTACGGAGTATATGGCACAACTTGGCAAATGCATGTGGCCCCATACGAATTATGTCACGACAATTTTCATTTGAATCAAGTTTATTCATTAGTTGTTCTCTTGCTTTTTGTTTGTCTTCATTGATGTCGTTGATAGGCCTATCTATATAATGTGAACGGAATACGTCTCCCATCAAATAAAGAGCATAAACAACATAACAAATTACTTGTACCACTGCCATTCGCCGTCGTTGTTCCTAAGCATTCAATTGCCCTACGCTATCTTCCCACTAATTTTCTTTGCCACACTCATCTAAATTCTCCTCTTCATTCTCATCCTAGTTAGCATGTATATTTTCTCCAAAATTATCATGCCAATTATGTTCCTTGTCCATCTACCAAATAAATGTCATTTGTATCTAAATAATTAGTGAAACAGTTATTCAAATCACATACAATGTTATAAAGGTAAAATGTTTAATTAATATATATATATATATATATATATATACTTCTCCACAGTTATACAATTATTTAATAAATGTTTAATTAATATTTTTATTTATTAAATGGTACTGTTTAGGCATTTGATGAATAATGAAAACCTACCCACAATTTTTGATGGATTTGCAGAAACATGAACATTTCAGGTTCTTGTGTCTTCCTTATTTATGCTATTTTCTATTATGGTAGTTTTTGTAATGATTGTTAGAACACCAATTATTCAAGTTAATTTATGTAAGAACTACAGAAACATGATGGGGTTGCGATAATTTTCTACATTATACTAAAATATTTGACTTGTAGAAACAAGCTCTTCTGCTATTGTGTTGAATTGTGTATTCAAGTATCTGTGATCAGACCTGTCATCCTTAGATTTTTAACCTATGCTCTGTTCATGGTCAGAACAGTTTGGCGTTTCATAAAGCACTCTCAGAGCAACCTAAGGATCCTTTGGTAGTCACTGCATTTAGCCTTACCGTCCACAGTGGTGGAGATATGTTGGAAGCCTTAAATATAACGAACAGTATCTCTATAGCACATGACGACATCTTAAGTTAATTTAGTAGAACCTCAGAATCTGAATTTTGATGCACTGGCGGATGAGGTTATGAACAGTATCTCCAGAGCACGTGTTATATCTATTATTTTAAGTTAATTTATAAGATAATATAGAAATCCCATACTGTAGATTATCTAAAGTTCATATGCAGCATAGCAAACAGCAGATTAACATCCGATTTCAAAATTTTCACCTTGCATCAATAGCAATATATATGTATATATATAGATATAACACATGAATCAAATCTACTTGTCAATATTGTCGATCTATGTATATGTATAGAGAAGAGAAAGTGCAAGAGAGAGTTTCTTACCTGCGTGAGAGAGATCACTGGAGAGAGATTGCTAGAGAGAGTTCAACGTGAAGGTCAATTTTGTTTCTTGATAGGGTTTTGCGTGAGACGAGATGTGTAAAAGGTTTATTTTTTAATTTTTGGGAAGGATAATCTTGTAATTTAATAACTCCACTTGTTTTCTCTCTTGTCTTTCGCCCAAATTTGGGCGGATGAAAATTTATAAAACAGGAGGGATAAGCCATCCTTCCTATTATCCTTTCTCTCCATGTCTCCTTCCTACTGAACAAAGGAATTTTGTTCCTTCCCTCCTATTTTCTTTCCACCCCTCTTCCTTCCTTCCTACCGAACAGAGCCTAAGTGTTTTTAATTAATTGTTTAAATGTTTTTAAATTACAATTTTGATTATTTGCTTAATTGTCTAAATGTTTAATTGGTTATTTGAATTGTTTATTTTAATTGAATTATATGCTTAGGTGGCATTTGAATGTTTAATTAAATGTATTATTTTATTTTTAAAAATGAGGTTGGGCTTGGATAGGATTCACGGATTGTTCGGATAATGTAAATGGGTACAGTTTTTACCCATGGAAGTATATACATTTATATATGGGTATATATGTATATAGGGTTGTTTTAATTATTGGTATTTATTAATAATTAAACTGGTATTATTAATCATAATTTAACATATGTTATAATTTTAGGGTTACGTATCTTCTTAAGTATTTAGCCGACTTGGATTATAACTTTTGTGGTTGTTCTTTTCTTTCTCAGAGTAAAATTAGAATTAGGTTTTTCCTAAGCCTATATAAATTCAACATTACGTCGTCTTAGGGTTTTGTAAAATAAACACAAACTATTGACACGAACAGTGAGTTTTTGAGGGGAAACAGAGGAGGGAGAATTAGGGTTTCGGCTAAGAACCAAGGCTGAGCCAAGGAGAGGAGGAAGGGGTGTTGCTTGTGGGTTTAATCTAGGACAACAAAGGAGTGGACGACAATCAAGAGGTCACCAAAAAGTCTAGACAGAGGACGGTTAAAGGTTTCAAACCGAAACTGAAAGGCAAGTTCTTTTCTTCCTCTCTCTCGTTGGCTTGTGTTCTGTGCACCTAGATAGACTCTATGAGATTAATTAGATATAAATTGATGCTTATAAGATTATTATATGTTAAATTTGATTATCTGTTATCTATGAAATTTATCTAAAATTATGCTCGCATGTATAGAGTTCATCGTCTGTTTTTAGCATAATATGTCGCTACTGTTTAATCATTGTTATGGAGTCCTACGATTATAAACCAAGGTCTGGATGGATACTAGAATGATATTTAAGACACTTAGGTTCAATTTAGATGAAGAACAATAAGACTGGAAGCGGCCGGAGACGAAGCTGAACGGTCGAAAACGAAGAAGACGGAGGATGATAGAGGTAGAGACGGCTCTACTTGGAGTAGAGCAGGCTCTACTCCCGGAGGCTCCCTTTTATGTGTAAACTGGACTTTTGTGCACTGTTTGGGACTTGTTTCGTGTTCTGAAATGATTATGTCCTTACAAACTTTTACAATAGCTTTTTCTGCTACTACTATGCCCATCGGTCGGGCGGCTAATGGCAATCATCAGTCGGCTGAGTTTTGTAAAAAGGATTTAATACCCTTGTTTTCATCTTTGATCCTATAAAAAAATAAAAATTAAAAATTAATGGGCTAAGATAGGATTCACGGACTGTTTGGATATTGTAAATGGGTACAGTTTTTACCCATGGAAGTATATGCATGTATATATAGGTATATATGTATATAGGGTAGTTTTAATTATTGGTATTTATTAATAATTAAACTGGTGTTATTAATCATAATTTAACATATGTTATAATTTTAGGGTTACGTATATTCTTAAGTATTTAGCCGACTTGGATTATAACTTTTGTGGTTGTTCTTTTCTTTCTCAGAGTAAAATTATAATTTGGTTTTTCTTAAGCCTATATAAATTTAACATTACGTTGTCATGGGGTTTTGTAAAATAAACACAAACTATTGACACGAACAGTGAGTTTTTGAGGGGAAACAGAGGAGGGAGAATTAAGGTTTCGGCCAAGAACTAAGGCTGAGCCAAGGAGAGGAGGAAGGGGTGTTGCTTGTGGGTTGAATCTAGGACAACAAAGGAGTGGACGACAATCAAGAGGTAGTCGGAAAGTCTAGACAGAGGATGGTTAAAGGTTTCAAATCGAAACCGAAAGGCAAGTTCTTTTCTTCCTCTCTCCCGTTGGCTTGTGTTCTATGCACCTTGATAGACTCTAGGAGATTAATTGGATATAAATTGATGCTTACATGATTATTATATGTTAAATTTGATTATCTGTTATCTGTGAAATTTATCTAAAATTATGCTTGCATGTATGGAGTTCATCGTTTATTTTTAGTATGATATGTCACTACTATTTAATCGTTGTTTTGGAGTCTTACGGTTATAAACCAAGGTCTATACTGATACTAGAATGAGATTTAAGACCCTTAGGTTTAATTTAGATGAAGAACAATAAGACTAGAAGTGGTCGGAGATGAAGCAGAACGGTTGAAAATGAAAAAGACAGAGGATGATAGAGGTAGAGGCGGCTCTACTTGGAGTAGAGTAGGCTCTACCCAAAGTAGAGGCGGCTCTACTCCTGGAGGCTCCCTTTTATGTGGAGTAGAGCAGGCTCTACTGTTGGAGGCTCCCTTTTATGCTTAAACTGGACTTTTGTGCACTGTTTGGTGTTCTGAAATGATTTTTGAAGTATATTGAGGGTTTTAAATGTAATTTCATGAATTATTAAAACCTCACATGGCGGGAATTATTTGTATAAATTAATGGAATTAACAGTGTGCAATTTAACAAACTTTGTATACTGTTAACGGATGGAAGGAACATAACTGCTTAATTTAATTTTAGCAATTTTTCAGATTATTTTATGGTTATAAAACTTATTTTAAATGCATGATAGGGTCATTTATTTATTAGAAATGATTCATGTATGCTCTAGATGCTAATTGTTAAAATATTAAACCATTTTCTGTAATTGCATGAATTAATGCTTGGATTTAAGTTGTTGAAATGTTAAACACTCTTCTGTAATTATTTGGTTAATGGTTTTGGATTTTAAATTGCTAAACTGTTATGTGTGTGTTGTTATTTACATGGATATGGAGGATTGTATGCGCCGGTTTGGGATGGTGGCATATTAGGGATGGTTTAGCTCAAAAAAGCTTAAACCTAACCTATCGGATTAAAGGAAAGGATTGTAAAATATTAAATCCTAATTTTGTTTAAGTCGAATCAACTGAGTAACTTGAGAGACTATCTGGATTAATTGATGCTTGCGGTTTAGGTCAGATCAACTGAGTAAGTTGTGTGACCACATGGATTAACTGTTATTTGGAGTTAACTTGTATCAACTGAGTAGTTGAGTGGTTAATTGGATTATGAGTCTTATGTCAGATCAACAAAGAATTGAATGACATACTCTGGTATGGACGGACTTTAAATATATGATTATGGTACCATGATATGAGCTTGAGTCTCAGAGTCGTTGGTTAGGGCGCGTATATGCAGTGGATGCGTAGCTGGTTATGATAGGTTGAAGTGTACCCTGTTATGTCTAGGTACTCATGCCCACATTTGGGTGCATTTTTGCATGTTGTGTAATACCCCTAATTTTAAAAGGATAGTCCTGAAATTTATTTAATTGTTGAATTGCATTTTAATTTATTAATTGTGCATTATTTAAATTACTTGTGATATGTGGTGGTTTTATTTAATTATTTTATTTAATTGTGATTTCTATTTTTGTGTTTGGGGGTGTGATAAGCACTGAAAAGTGCGCATTTAAATCCTTTAAGCTTGAACATTCTAGGACCTTTATCTATCTTGTTTTCCTACCTTAGACTAATTTTGTGTTATTTCCATTTTCAGGCACTTATCTCCAAAATAAGTCAATTCAGCCAAATAAGAGTATAAAAGAAGCAATCTTGAGCTGAATGGAAGAAAGGAGCAAAGTGTAAGCGAAGTGGTGGAAAATCAGCATCTTCGATCGATCTTACCAATGTTCGATCGATCTCACAGTGATTGATCTAGCCATTTCAAGATGGATCCAAGCCTTTGTCCTTATCCAAAAGAATTCACCATCTTCGATCTATCCAACTTCCCTCAAATTGATCAAAATCCCTTGATCTTATCCCCACCTACCACTTTTGTCTCTTTCCCCAAAATATTCCGAAAATATCTAAGATTTGTCTTTATTAAAAAAGGAGCCGGCATGGAAGGATCGATCTCGCCAACATTTGATAGATCTCACCAAAGTTCGATCGATCTCATCAACCTTCGATCGATCGAACCCTCTCAAATACGAAATAAAACAGAGTCTAACTCATTTAAAGATGACTCATGGTGCAATCGATGAAGGGGCTCTAGTGCACGAGTCCAGATCATTGGGTGTGACACTTAAACTACCTATATAAGGATTTGGTGTCATTTTTACACATAGAACATATATTTTACATACACACATATGCTTGAACAGAATAGATTGGAGGAGAGGCTAGAGATTAGAGACACAAATCGTTGGGGAGCTCTTCCATTCATCTAGAGTTTCCATCAAGAAGGAGATCATCCCTACCATGGAGATAGCCCTTAAGGGTTAGAGGACTACATCAATAA